TGTTGTGCTCAAATTATAGTTTAATGGACTTTGAATTATTTTTGAAAACTTCGAAAAAATTCAATCAAATCTAAAAACATTTTTCCTTAATTTGTTATATCAAAATATTATAAAACATGGTTAAACAATCTTCTCTTTTTGATATAACAAAACATTTGAAAATTGTTTTGCCAAAACTCTCCCTTAATAAAATGTTTCATGAAAAAGAGAAATATTTGGAAAATATTAAAGCTTTCCCTTTTTCATTGAGAAATTGAATTTTTCAAACATATATTTCTCCCCCTTTTGTTATATCAAAAATAATTCAACTTTAAAGTTCAAAAATAACAATGGAGAGTAAGTGGTAAAATTTAGCATAAAATCATTTGAAAAATCAAAGCTCCCCCTCAATAAATGCATTCCAAACAAAAAAAATGACTTTAAAGGTATGACACTTAAAAGATATTGAATTTCAACAAAGATGAACAAACAAGTTAGTAGCACAAGAAATTCAATATATCCAAGTCTAATATACTTTATGTTATACCAATTTTTGTATTTAAGTGCATGTGCATAAAGCTATCAAAAAATGTTATGCATTTGAAAAATTGATATCAATTGTTAGAGAGATATCATTTGCAATAAACTACATGTATAAACATTTAAATTAAGGTCAAAAATTAAAATTTGTAAAAACAAAGCATTAAAACCAATTTTGACCAAAATTCATTATGATGAACAAACATTTATGAAAAAACATTAAAACTTTAGAAAATGTTCACCATAACATATTTTTAACATAAATGAGATAGAAAACATAAAATTATTTAAAATCAAAACTCATGCATGCTTAAACTAAATGAGCAACAAATTATGCAAGATAATCAAAATAAGCTTAGAGGTTACCCATTCCATATCAAGTGTGGCTAGAGCATTTGAATATCTTCACTTTTATTACCATTGCTCCCATACACCTACAAGAAACATTTAAGTGGATTTTGGTATCCAAATTGCTTTGGATCCTTGAGTGTTAGTTTAATGCCCTTTGTTCCCTTAGGATCCCATACTTGTCTAATTCTAAAACGTTTTCTTTTCTTTATAGGAAAAGTATGTTCCATATGACCATGAAAACGATAATGTGAGCATTTTGCCATTTTTAACATAGATGAATTGTTTTTAGAAATTATTTCTTTTTCCTTTGTTAAGCATTCAAGCTTAACTTTCAATTTAAGATTTTCTTTTTCCAAATATTTAATTTTGGTTTTTGAAAGTTCAAAATCATTTTTCAAAGTTTCATTTTGCTTTTCAAAATCCAATTTAGCAGAACTGGCAGAAGTCATACAAGAAGCATCAGTAGATAACAAAGAATGGTCCAAAGCAAACAAACTAGAATCTAAGCAAGATGACTCAAAAAAATATAAGCCTTTGGATTCCCTAAAAATCCTCTTCATCTTTCCAGTGGAGAGATCCTGTAGGAGACAAAAATCAGGGTAAAAGGTAAGAAAACAACCAAGGACACGAGTAAGCCTAAAGACTGAGAGCAAGTTATGTTTGAATTGTGGAACAAAAATAAAATTTTCAAGTTTACATTCTAGGGTAAGGAAAATAAGATGTAAACAAGAAAACCTCTTAAAAGGAATATGTTTACAAAAATTAAGCTCACTAAAACATTAATATATATTTACAAGAGAGAGGAAAATAAGAATAAAAAACCTTTCTCTTATGTTTGATTGCTTGAATAGTTGTTCCAACATTCTTCAAGTGTCCTCAACCTGTTTTTATATGTTAGAATGAGTTTGTGGTCGTGTCAAGCCTTTGGGGATGTTTTGGAGTCGTTGGGGATTATTTTTCTGCAAAATAAAACTGCCTATAACAGAGAGTACCGGTACTCCTTTGATGAGTATCGGTACTACCTTTGTAATTTTTAAATAAACTAGTCGTTAAAGACCGTTGGGCTTGACCAGTATCGATACTATGCTCATGGTATCGATACTACTGTGTAAAGTAGTATCGGTACCTATTTTGTATTCTATAATTTGAGTCATTTCAAAAACATCTGGTAGTATCGATACTACTTAGAGAGTATCGATACTTCTCTTACCTTTGGAATCGGGACCACATGAACAGTACCAGTATTGTTCATGTAGTACCGATACTGTAAGAACAATATCGGTACTACGTACCCAGAAAACAGTTTTGTGCTCAAATTATAGTTTAATGGACTTTGAATTATTTTTGAAAATTTTGAACAAATTCAATCAAGTCCAAAAACATTTTTGCCTTACTTTTTTATATCAAAAATATTATAAAACATGGTTCAACAGATTCTTATATTAAATGTTAATGTATACTTAAAGATATTCAAACCAAGGATGAATGAAGGGAGTGCTAGGATGATCGTACCTCCTAAAATTTTAAATTCTCATATATTTTAAGTAAATTTTTTTTATATTTTTATCAGTAATCCAACTTTACATTTCTAAAATTTTATAATTTAACATCAATAAAATTTATAATATAATATGATGTTTGTTATTGCTTTTTTATTTTTTAGAATAATAATTGATAATTTATTGATCTTCGATTAATATTATTTTTATTTAATAAAATTATTTTTATTTAATAAAATTATATTTATTGTGAAAAAATATCAATACATAGAAGATGCTAAAAGTCATTTTATTTTATATTTAAATAAGCTTTTATTAAGTCAATTTTATTATTCAATATTTATTTTAATTTAAATCTCATTATATATAGGTGATTATAATAGATGATACTAAAAGTCATTTTAGTTTATATTTTTATTATTTATTGTTTGAAATAAACCGACAAAACGGCAATGAAAGAACCAAAGTAAACAAATTTATAGGCCATTGTATATTTTAATATTTCTTTAATAAAAATATTTAAATTAGAACCGCGTTTATTCTAGAATTTTTTTAAAAAAAATTAAGGATATAGTCAATTAATCCAAATGAAGGATAGTCGTGGGTTGACTTGACTAAGTTTTTGGTTTATCTAATTCAAATGTTGCATTATTCATTCATCAATTAGTTTAGTTCATATTTAAGAATATTTCGTTGGCTTCAAATTTGATTCCATTTTTAAAATAAAAATTTATATATATACTTACACATACACATACACATTTAGTTAATTTGATTCAACCCATAATATTTACATTCTCATATTAAAAGTTATTGTATAATTAAGGATATTCAAACCATGAATGAATCAAAAGGGTGCTATGAAGATTGTACCTTCAAAAATCTTAAATTATCATATATTGTTCTTTGTATTTTTATTAATAATTTAATTTTATAATTTTAAAAAATAAATTTCTAATATAATCTTTCAAGATTCATACATTTTAACATAAATTCGTACATCAATTTATAATCTAAATCAACAAACTCTAAAATATTACAATAACATCAATATGAACGAAATCTTATTAAGCCATTATTCATTTTCTCGAAAAGACAAAATTTAGTAAGGTGGTTACTAATTTTGGTCCTAAAATTAAACTTTTAAATTTTGAAACAAATCCCACAAATATTCCTTTGTTTTTATGACCATTCTTTAACAATTTTTTTTAATATTTAATTTGTCATATACTTATCAGATAATTTATATTCAAAGTTCAAAAAATATAATCATTAGAATTTAGAATTTTATCTATATATGACTAGAAAATCCAATGGCTAGTTTTTCATTTGAATTTTATCATTCTAAGTTGGAAATCAACGAAATACAAAGTAAAAGGACAAGAATTCAACGGAATTAAAGAAGACAAATTGGATATTGATTCATATTACAATTTAACGTTAAGTAACTTCATTTTATGAGTATTTTACTAATTTAGAGTGATTACAAGTTGTAATATATGTTTTAAATTATTTGATAATGGACGAACGTTTAAATATCTTGTAGTTTTTAGTGTTCAAACTCGAAACTTCTAAGAGTAATAATCATTTCTTTAACCATTGAGATAGTTTGGCTCGTGCCCATTTTTGTCACTTTTCAATGAAAAGCCATATCAATTTAATATAAAAAGGAGATTGATGTAGACGAGGATAAGCATAGAATTTTATGTTAGGGGTGGTGAATTTACAAAATTTTAAAGGGAGATAAACGTATAAAACTTTAAAAAGGAGAAAATAGATTTTTTTAAAAATATTTAAAATATATATAAATTTGAAATTTTTAAGGGATGACTTCCTGGCCGTGGATCTATCCGTAGATGTACATGCCAGATTGTGTTATTAAAAATGTAAAAATCTCAAATTCAGATCTATTATATATAAATATAGTCAGAGGTGGATTCGGGGGCAGGGCAAGGGGAGCCTTGACCCCGTCAATAATATTTTTAATTATTAATTAATATAGAAAAAAATATCTTTTAAAAATAAATAAAGAAAAATTTATCGAACCTTTCTCAATTAAAAAATTATATTTATGAAAGATAAAAAAAATTAAACTTCACTATAATAAATTTAAATTTCTAGTTCGGTTACCGAATTAATTATTCGTTGAATGTATTATCACTATTTGATGGAGTTAAAATTTTTGTTTGCCGGAACGTAAGTTGAAATCTTCTATCCACGTCTAACCTAATAATCTATATTTGGGAGGATTTTACCGGAGTTAAAATTTGACCCAGTTTTTTAGATTATAATATATATTTGATTTGATTTGATTTATATATTTCCAACATATAATATTTTTATTCAGAAAAATATAAATGTGTATTATTATAATTATCTTTAAATGTATAAAAAAATATTTATAATAACTTATCGAATAGATTCAAGTTTTTTTTCTCAGCCTAAAAAATTGATTCAAACCAAAGTTTTTAAAATGAAAAGTCAAGCCAGAAGAATTAAGTTTGAATAGAATCTATCAAATCCGAGTAAATAATTTTCAAAGTCACATAAACTAAAAAAATGTTGGGTAGGTCAAGTTTACATTCTATGAAGTATAAATATGGTAACTCCATTTTTCAATAGTTATAAACAAAATGAAATCCGCTTATTGCTCGTCGACTGTCTTGGTTTTTGCCATCATCTTGATCTCATTTTCATGGGCGACCGAAGCTCAGTCACATGACAACTTTCTTCAATGTCTTTCTCTTCAATCCAACGATTCATCTTCCACTTCTAACCTCATTTACACACAACGCCAAGCTGCGTACTCATCCATATTGGAATCTTCCATCCAAAACCTTAGGTTCGCCACAAATGCTACCGCCAAGCCTTTAGTCATCGTCACACCTTCGCATGCATCCCACATCCAAGCAACTATCCGTTGCTCGAAGCAACACGGTCTGCAGATCCGGACTCGAAGCGGCGGTCATGACATGGAAGGTCTTTCGTACGTTTCTGAAGTCCCGTTTGTTGTGGTCGATTTGGTTAATCTTCGTTCCGTTGACGTCGACGTCGATGATGGCAGTGCATGGGTGGAAGCTGGTGCAACCATAGGTGAACTCCAGTACAGGATTGCTGAAAAAAGTAGAGCCCTCGGCTTTCCAATGGCTACTTGCCATACCGTAGGTGTTGCTGGGTACTTTAGTGGAGGAGGGCATGGCCCTGTGTGTCGAAAATACGGTCTCGCCGCCGATAACATCATTGATGCTCGACTGATCGATGCTAACGGCGAAATTCTCGACAGAAAATCGATGGGGGAAGATCTGTTTTGGGCGATCCGAGGCGGTGGTGGAGGTAGCTTCGGGATCGTTCTTGACTGGAAAATAAAGTTAGTTCCTGTTCCGTCAACCGTGACTGTTTTCACTCTCACGAAGACCTCAGAACAAAATGCAACCAAACTCATCCATCAATGGCAATACGTTGCACCTAATCTTCCCCAAGATTTATCCATTCTCCTCACCATATCTGGTGATGGAAATGGATCAATTCAAGCTACCTTTATAGGTTTGTTTCTGGGCAGGGTTGATAATCTCGTTTCATTGATGGCAGAAAGGTTTCCCCGGCTTGGATTAGTGAAACAAGACTGCACCGAAATGAGTTGGATTCAATCCGTTGCTTACTTGGCTCAATTACCTCAAGGGCCCGTAGAGATTTTACTGGACAGAAATGCATCAGTAAAATCGTATTTTAAAGTAAAATCTGACTACGTAAATCAACCGATCCCAGAATTTGTATTCAAGGAAATGGGGCGGTGGTTCGAGGATGAAGAAGGAAGGAATGCAACGATCAGCTTTGTCCCCTACGGTGGAAGAATGGATGAAATCCCTGAATCTGAAACTCCATTTCCCCATAGAGCTGGCAACCTTTACATCATCAGGTACGTTACGGCTGAAGTGGGAGAGATTTCGGATTTCCAAAAGTATATAAATTGGACCCGAAGACTTTATCGTTATATGACCCCTTATGTTTCGAAATCTCCACGAGAAGCTTACATTAATTACAGGGACTTAGACATCGGAGTTAATGATGAAGACAAGACAAGCTATGATCAAGCGAGCACTTGGGGTTTTAAATATTTTAAAAACAACTTTGAGAAACTAGTGAAGGTGAAGTCGTTGGTTGATCCTGAAAATTTCTTCAAGCATGAACAAAGCATACCTTCAATCTAGTGTTGGAGAAGAAACTTCATCGGGACTATTATTAGTTTCTTCAATACAATAAAGACATTTCTATGTATTTTAAAAAATAAGCTCAGTGCTAAATGTCAAACTTTAAGCACTTGGTATAGTTTCCTAGATGAAAATCCGAACGGAAGTGATGTAAGAAACCCTAGATAAGTTTATCTACCTTTATCTATAAAGGTTAAGTCGATTGATTATATATGTCACGTGTATTATAAACTATTCAGTTGGTCACCTAACTTTTTAAACACTTTTATTTTGGTCACCAAATAGTAAAATCTCCTAACAAATGCTTATCCGATATTTGTATCAATAGATTGATTATACATGTGAATATGTTAAAGTCAACATTAGGGCACGGTTGCAACTATAAATAACAAAGACCACGATAATAATGATAATGCAATCAAATAATAAATAATATTATATTATATTTATATATAATAAATATCAAATACGGGATTTTAACATGTTTAATAACTGTTATCATATACCTGATGCATGCATGCTTGTGCATGGTGTTAGGTTCACGTTTTATGCATGATGGTGATGTGTACTGTTTGTTGAAAATTGTTGGGTCTTTTGTTATTAGGTGGGGCCCTTATCTGGCACGTGTTTGGTGGTGTGTGGGTTGCTTTTTCTTATATACTCAGTACCTCTCTTTGATAATAAAGAGAGTATTTTAAAAGTTAACATGGTATCTGAGTCGAGCGTTTCTGGGTATTCTTCTTCGTTTTCTGGTTTTTTTCTTCTTTGAAGTTTGAGTGAGTGATGCCAACCTCAGGCGCTTCCGGCGACAATATGTTCACTCATAAACGGGTGAGAGTTGTCTTGGATGAGCTCAATTACCTTTTATGGAAATAACAAGTTTTGCTTACTGTGCGAAGCCACCGGTTGGAGAAACTTTTTAGGTGTGGTGTTAAACCTCCTACTACCAATGTTACTCTTGCTGATGGATCTTCTGTGGAGAATGATGCTTATGAAAGTTTTGTTGCTCAAGATAGCACGCTTGCTTCTTGGTTGTTATCGACGATCAGTGCCTCTCTTCTTCTTCATCTTGTCGGAGCAAAAACGACAACTGAAATATGGGCGAGAATCACGACATTCTTTGCTAGTAAATCTCCTTCCACTATTATGAATCTCCAGTACAAACTTAAACTTGTGAGGAAAGGTGAGCAAAATATGTGTGTGTGTGTGTATATCTTTGAGGTTAAAAAGATTTGTGATTTGTTGGTTGTGTGTGGTGCTCCGATTTCTCGGTACGAGCAAGTTGTCACCATTTTGAACGGGATTCTGATTGAGTATCGACCTTTTGTTGTGGTCATCATTACGAGCCCTGAACTGTTCTTTCTTGAGGGTGTTATTTCGATGCTTATTGATGTCGAAATGCAACAACGAAATTTTGAGCATCTTGATAGTTTTCAGCTTAGTGCTAATATGACCAAGCTTTCGGTTATTGATACGTCTCCTGATTGTGTATCATCTGTGGATGCTGGTCGTTTTGTTTCTCCTGGTTTAGTGGTATCTTATTATGGTGGTCGTGGTGCTGCTCAAGGTGGTTTGTCGATTGGTGCTGCTCAAGGTAGTTCGTCAAGGGGTCGTGGGCGTAGGCGCAACACGTTTCAGTGTTAGCTCGGTGGGAAGATTGACCATCTTTTCGATCGGTACTGGCATAGGTTTGATCAGACCTTTTCGGGGGTAGGTGCTACTGCTTTTTCTCATGATGATCGTGGTTTAGTAACTCAATCGGCTGTTAATGTTTGCCCTTATGGTTCTTCTACTGAAATAGCATTTTAAAATTGAAAAGACAAAACATCAACCCCCCAATTTTAAAGGTCAATTATATGTAATTGGACAAGTACGTATATATATATAAATAAATGAAGCATGTAGCATAGAGATGCTTATGTATGTGCACGTAGCCTAATTATGTAATCAGTACAATGCTTTTTGGATATTAACAAACAGAGATACGTAGCTTGATATTAAATAATTGGATGCTCAAATGTATGCACCAATTAATTCCATTGAAATTTAAAATGGGAATTCAAATGATTGATTTGTACACAAAACACGAACTGTCGGCATATAAAAGGGTTACATCCTAAATTACCAACATCTTTTTTATTATTTATTTATTTTAAAATTGTGTTAAATAAAAGGGAAAAGTACACAAATGGTACCCTGACAATAGGGTACTGATTTATTAAGTGATTTGACAATTAAAAGTTACAAAACGGTCACTCAATTATTCATCATGTTCCAAATTCATTATTTTTCATTAAAAAAGTAGCAATTGTTTAAGCTGGGTGTCAACATAATGACTGAGATATAATAGTCATTTGAGATTTTAGATCAGATTTTATAAGTCGAGAGACTGAATAAATTAATAACATATAGTTGGGAGTCATCTGTGTATTTTACCCTAAATAAAATAAGCAAGGGGGAGGGATTGATATGCAATAAACTAAAGTAGTAATCACCCCACCTACCCTGTTAAACATTTAATCCAATCGGTGGGTTAATTACGATTTGCAGAATTTAATTATGGTATTGCTATTGATTGTTTTTAAGGTAGACTATTCAATATGCTACTTGAAACAATTTTATCCGAGAAATCATTCATCGGAGAGTATAATTTTTATCCTATTATTTTTTCTGTTACAGAAAGTGACTGTGTTAACAACAATTATTCCTGCTCTCCACTTATTCATATCGAGGTGGAGAAGGCGATGAATGTTATCAGGAGATCGTCAAGGTCAATTCGATCAAGCAAGGTCATGTGACCAAGATGAGTAATCGCATTCGCATCTCGGTGAACGTGCATAAACTTGATTTGTCATCGTCTATCGAAAAAATTCTGAACTTTACGAAATACAACTGATTCAAACGCTGATCCGATAAGGGATAAGATCGGAACCGCTTCCTTATTATTCATCTCCACATCGACCTTCCTAAAATTTGCTTTCTCCCACGCAAGGATTCTATTATTTTATTTATAAGTAAGAGTTATTAATGAATCATTAGTATGGAGCATGTAATATCTGTATACGTACGTCGCTTAACCAACACAATGCGTTTTGGACAGGGAGCACTGTAAGTAGCTTAGCTTCTGCTCAACTGTCTTAATCGTTTCATATAAAGAAAAAAACAAGTCTCCTCTTGATTGATTTAACCATATTTTATTTTATCCCAATATATGTAATACAGCGTGCTTGTTCTGCCACATTTTATTTTATCCCAATACGTAATTTTTCAAAGTCAGTAGCTAACTACCCAGCTTACCATCAACATATTTTAGTGTCAATTCAGTAACATATATACTTCCATCCAATAATTTTGGAACATATTGCAAGTTCCAATTCAACATACACCTCTTCTAATTATGATAAGCCATTTAAAATAATGTATATCATTAATGAGTAATATTATGTCAAATTCATGTACAAATATCGTAATATTTTTTATAATTCATTTATCTGATACGATAGAAAGAACTTGTTATAGCTCAATAGAAGAGAGAATTAATCGAAAGAAAGTTAGCAGAAAAGGGAGGTCTCCTACGGAAGCTGCTCTCAACCTGGTGTTGGGGGCAGCCTACTATCTTACCTCCCCCTTACCCCATACATATGGGAAAAAAGGGACAGCCAAAGTTAGCAGAAAAGAAAAAAAAATATAGAGAAATGAGAAGTTCATTCACTCAAGTCATGAGGAAATTGTCTCAGCATACAGGTCTTATTTAGTTACAAATTGTACCTGAAAATCTAAGGATGTCAGGTGTATGTCCTTTACTAACTAACTCTATATTTTCTTCTCTTCAGTAGGTATTGGGCTTCCGGATTTGGGCTGCTCCAACTAAGCCGGGTAAGTTAGTACTCACCTACCATTCACGTGTTCTGTAAATTTCCCAATTCATTCCCTTCAATCCCTAACCCTCGCTCTTCAATTCCCAATTCTTTCTCGTTTCATCGTCTCCCTTCTTCTCCTACTATGATAGAACTTCATATTTAATCACTGAATATATGTTAAAAATATTTTTTTATTAATAATATAAAATTTCCAGGTTGATTTGAAATTTGGTGTGCACAAATATTGGAAACTTGTTACATACCCCTAACTTGACTTTGCCTCAAATTTTAAAGGAAAAGGAATGGGAGAGGTTCTTTAAGATTTCATCATTTGTGGTATTTTAATGAAGTTTGCTAGGAAAAACAGCTGACATAAGCAAATTATGTCACCCCCACAAAAAGTTTACTGCAATTATTTAAATATTTAATTGATAATTTATTTTCGTCTTAAAATTTTATGAATTTATCTCTTTAAAATTTTATTTCCTAATATAAAATTATACTTGTGTCTCTAATTATAATGGTATCTGTATAATGTCAACCATTCTAAACAAATGAATTTTCATCTACTAAAATCTGATAATTAAATATTTTCATACTTAATAATTAATAATTCAATCATAGAGATTATTAACAATAGTATTTTTGTGGAAGTGTGTAAAGTTATTTTAATTTTATAAAAATAGAAAAGAAAATTCGTGGAATAGTTTATAAAATAATAGCGCGTAGTAGGAGATAAACCTTGATTTTAGTTTGTCAATTATTCAAATCAAAGGACATAAGAGTTGGATGAAGTTGACATAGCCGAATTTATTTATTTTTTATTTAGCTTAAATTAATATGAAATATATAAACATCTTCCTAAAATTCTATTAATCCATGCGCCATAAAAATGTTCTAAATAAATATTATTTCTTCCAGTTTGGCAACGTATATACAAATTATGTCAAATAATTCTTAATCCGATTTTATAAATGTTGGTTGCGAATTTATTAGTGAAGCATGTTTCATAAGATGCATTTTAGCTCATATGCACATTATTAAGGGTCATCTTTGTCCCTGTAGTAGACCTAATTTATCATTTTCGTTCTTATCACATTTTCACATCAATTTAGATTTCAAAGTTGTTTAATAGCATTATTCTATACTCTATGCCTAACTTAAAACCCTAAATTATAAACCTCGAGTTAGGGTTTAGATTTAGGGTTTATAGCTTATAGGATATGGGGTTGTAGTTTAGGGGTTAGGGGTAGGGGTAGGGTATACAAGCATGCAATTGAGTAACTTCGGAGGTTG